AAAATTACTAGATATTGGCCGCCCCTGGATGAACGTGTTTGTTAGATTTTTTGCAGAAATTTGTAAAAATTAGAGTCGTTATTTACAAAATTTATTCAGTTTTCATCGATTTTATTTTCAAAAAATAATAAATTATATTGAAAACAAAAATGGATTATAATGGATTTAAAGGTTTCAAAAATAATCGATTAAAATAGATTAAAAATCAATAACGTGGTCTAAATATGCCATGATAATCGATTATATAGACACATTTAGGCAATAAAATCCATTATACTCGATTATTACCCATGAAACTTCGGTGCGCGGTTTATAAGCTCAAAAAGTTACCTGGTGGCTTCCAATCAGGTCAAAATTTTGAACTGCTTCAACTAGACTTTTGCAGCTGGTCCATGTATATTTTTCATACCCTCGTATAGGATTGAGACAGTTCTCGGGTTTTACATACTCCAAAACTTGACCATCATTATGAAGTTGAGTGGCGTTATTTTTTTCTTGTTCCATTTTTGTTTTTGGTTTTTGACAGATTTCGATAACTGTTTCGTGCAAACTTGAGAGATCGGGATTCAGCCGAAGAGACCAAACGTTGGTAGGGGGGGTATGTTGGGGGGGGGCTGAGGAAGTGGTCAAAATTGCTGTTTTTGTGCACTTTTTGGAAAATTACTAGATATTGGCCGTTCATGGATGAACTTGTTTGTTCTATTTTTGCAGAAATTTGCAAACAATAGAGTCAATAGTTACAAAACTTAGTCAGTTTTCAATTTTATGTTCAAAAATAATCAATTTTTTTGAAAACAAAAACGTATTATAATCAATTATAATGTATTATAATGGATATTAAATGTTTCAAAAAAAAATAGTCGATTAAAACAGATTAAAAATCGATCACGGGGTCTAAATATGCCATGATAATCTTTTATATAGACACAATTTTAGGCAATAAAAATCCATTATAATCGATTATTACCCATGAAACTTCGGTGCGCGGTTTATAAGCTCAAAAAATTACCTGGTGACTTCCAATCAGTTCAAATTTTTGAACTGCTTCAATTATGCTTTTGCAGCTGGTCCAGGTACATTTTTCATAACCTCGTATAGGATTGAGACAGTTCTCGGGTACTACATACTCCGAAACTTGACCATCATTATAGAGTTGAATGGCGTTATTTTTTTCCTGTTCCAGTTTTCTTTTTGATTTTTGACAGATTTCGATAACTGTTTCGTGCAAACTTGAGAGATCAGGATTCAACCGAAGAGACCAAATGTTGATGGGGGGGGTTCGTTGGGGAAGGGCTGAGGAAATGGTCAACAATGCTGTTTTTGAGCACTTTTTGAAATTTACTAGATATTGGCCGCCCTTGGATGAACGTGTTCGTTAGATTTTTGCAGAAATTTGCAAAAATTAGAGTCGTTATTTACAAAATTTAGTCAGTTTTCATCGATTTTATGTTCAAAAAATAATCAATTATATTGACAACAAAAATGGATTATAATGGATTTAAATGTTTCAAAAATAATCGATTAAAATAGATAAAACATCGATTACGTTTTCTAAATATGCCATGATAATCGATTTTATAGACAACATTTTAGGCAATAAAGTCCATTATACTCGATTATTACCCACGAAACTTCGGTGCGCGGTTTATAAGCCCAAAAAATTACCTGGAGGCTTCCAATCAGGTCAAAATTTTGAACTGATTCAATTGACTTTTGCAGCTGGTCCATGTATATTTTTCATACCCTGGTATAGGATCGAGACAGTTCTCGGGTTTTACTTAATCCAAAACTTGACCATCATTAAAAAGGTGAATGGCGTTGTTTTTTTCTTGTTCCAGTTTTGTTTTTGATTTTTGACAGATTTCGATAACTGTTTTGTGCAATTTTGAGAGATCAGGATTCAGCCGAAGAGACCAAACGTTGGTGGGGGGTACAGTGGGGGGGGGGGGGTGAGGAACTGGTCAAAATTGCTGTTTTTGGGCACTTTTTGGAAATTTATTAGATATTGGCCGCCCCTGGACGAACGTGTTTGTTCAATTTTTACAGAAATTTGCAAAAAAAGAGAGTCAATATTTACAAAACATAGTCAGTTTTCATCGATTTTAAGTTCAAAAAATAGTCAATTTTTTTGAAAACAAAAATGTATTATAATCGATTATAAAGTATTAAAATAGATATAAAAAGTTTCAAAAATAATCGATTGAAACAGATTAAAAATCAATCACGGGGTCTAAATATGCCATGATAATCGATTATTTGGACAACATTTTAGGCAATGAAAATCCATTGTAATCGATTATTACCCATGCAACTTCGGTGCGCGGTTTATAAGCTCAAAAAATAACCTGGTGACTTTCAATCAGGTCAAATTTTTGAACTGCTTCAATTATGGTTTCGCAGCTGGTCTAGGTACATTTTTCACACCCTCATATAGGATTGAGACAGTTCTCGGGTACTACATACTCCAAAACTTGACCATCATTATAGAGTTGAAAGGCGTTATTTTTTTCATGTTCCAGTTTTCTTTTTGTTTTTTGACAGACTTCGATAACTGTTTCGTGCAAACTTGAGAGATCAGGATTTAGCCGAAGAGACCAAAAGTTGGTAGGGGGGGTACGTTGGGAAGGGGGCTAAAGAACTGGTCAAAATTGCTGTTTTTGGGCATTTTTTGGAAAATTACTAGATATTGGCCGCCCCTGGATGAACGTGTTTGTTCGATTATTGCAGAAACTTGCAAAAAATAGAGTCATTATTTACAAATCTTAGTAAGTTTTCATCGATTTTATGTTCAAAAAATAATCAATTATATCGAAAACAAAAATGGATTATAACCGATTATAATGTTTTATGATGGATATAAAATGTTTCAAAAATAATCGGTTAAAACAGATTAAAAATCAATCACGGGGTCTAAATATGCCATGATAATCGATTATACAGACAACATTTTAGGCAATGAAAATCCCTTGTAATCGATTATTACTCATGAAACTTCGGTGCGCGGATTACAAGCTCAAAAAGTTACCTGGTAACTTCCAATCATGTCAAGTTTTTGAAGTGCTTCAATTATGCTTTTGCAGCTGGTCCAGGTACGTTTTTCATACCCTCGTATAGGTTTGAGACAGTTCTCGGGTACTACATACTCCAAAAGTTGACCATCATTATAGAGTTGAATGGCGTTATTTTTTTCCTGTTCCAGTTTTCTTTTTGATTTTTGACAGATTTCGATAACTGTTTCGTGCAAACTTGAGAGATCAGGATTCAGCCGAAGAGACCAAATGTTGATGGGGGGGTTCGTTGTGGGAAGGGCTGAGGAACCAGTCAAAAATGCTGTTTTTGGGCACTTTTTGGAAAAGTAATAGATATTAACCGCCCCTGGATGAACGTGTTCGTTAGTTTTTTGCAGATATTTTTAAAAAAAATAGAGTCATTATTTACAAAACTTAGTCAGTTTTGATCAATTTTATGTTCAACAAATAATCAATTATATTGAAAACAAAAGTGGATTATAATGGATTTAAATGTTTCAAAAATAAACGATTAAAATAGATCAAAAATCGATTACGTGGTCTAAATATGCCATGTAATCGATTATATAGACAACATTTTAGGCATTAAAATCCATTGTAATCGATTATTACCCATGCAACTTCGGTGCGCGGTTCATAAGCTCAACAAATAACCTGGTGACTTTCAATCAGGTCAAATTTTTGAACTGCTTCGATTATGGTTTCGCAGCTGGTCTAGGTACATTTTTCACACCCTCATATAGGATTGAGACAGTTCTCGGGTACTACATACTCCAAAACTTGACCATCATTATAGAGTTGAATGGCGTTATTTTTTTCCTGTTCCAGTTTTCTTTTTGATTTTTGACAGATTTCGATAACTGTTTCGTGCAAACTTGAGAGATCAGGATTCAGCCAAAGAGACCAAATGTTGATGGGGGGGTTCGTTGTGGGAAGGGCTGAGGAACCAGTCAAAAATGCTGTTTTTGGGCACTTTTTGGAAAATTACTAGATATTGGCCGCCCCTGGATGAACGTGTTTGTTAGTTTTTTGCAGAAATTTGTTAAAAAAATAGAGTCATTAATTACAAAACTTAGTCAGTTTTGATCGATTTTATGTTCAAAAAATAATCAATTATATTGAAAACAAAAGTGGATTATAATGGATTTAAATGTTTCAAAAATAAACGATTAAAATAGATCAAAAATCGATTACGTGGTCTAAATATGCCATGTAATCGATTAGATAGACAACATTTTAGGCATTAAAATCCATTGTAATCGATTATTACCCATGCAACTTCGGTGCGCGGTTTATAAGCTCAAAAAATAACCTGGTGACTTTCAATCAGGTCAAAATTTTGAACTGCTTCAATTATGGTTTCGCAGCTGGTCTAGGTACATTTTTCACACCTTCATATAGGATTGAGACAGTTCTCGGGTACTACATACTCCAAAACTTGACCATCATTATAGAGTTGAATGGCGTTATTTTTTTCCTGTTCCAGTTTTCTTTTTGATTTTTGACAGATTTCGATAACTGTTTCGTGCAAACTTGAGAGATCAGGATTCAGCCGAAGAGACCAAATGTTGATGGGGGGGTTCGTTGTGGGAAGGGCTGAGGAACCAGTCAAAAATGCTGTTTTTGGGCACTTTTTTGGAAAATTACTAGATATTGGCCGCCCCTGGATGAACGTGTTCGTTAGTTTTTTGCAGAAATTTGTTTAAAAAATAGAGTCATTATTTACACAACCTAGTCAGTTTTGATCGATTTTATGTTCAAAAAATAATCAATTATATTGAAAACAAAAGTTGATTATAATGGATTTAAATGTTTCAAAAATAAACGATTAAAATAGATCAAAAATCGATTACGTGGTCTAAATATGCCATGTAATCGATTATATAGACAACATTTTAGGCAATAAAATCCATTATACTCGATTATTACCACTTAAACTTCGGTGCGCGGTTTATAAGCTCAAAAAGTTACCTGGTGACTTCCAATCAGGTCAAGTTTTTGAACTGCTTCAATTATGCTTTTGCAGCTGGTCCAGGTACATTTTTGATACCCTCGTATAGGATTGAGACAATTCTCGGGTACTACATACTCCAAAACTTGACCATCATTATAGAGTTGAATGGCGTTATTTTTTTCCTGTTCCAGTTTTCTTTTCGATTTTTGACAGATTTCGATAACTGTTTTGTTCAAACTTGAGAGATCAGGATTCAGCCAAAGAGACCAATTTGAGTACTGGATGCAGAGGTACAAGTAATCGAACCTGTCATTTTGAACAATTATTTCCAAATGTTTATGCAAGGAGTTAGAACAGAGTTCGAGCATATCCGCAACCTTTTGTCTGCTAACTACTGCTTGCTTTCGATCACCACATTTTACATACTGGAAATACTCTAAGAAAAGCAACTCGTATGCTTCTAAGTAACATTCCAATTGGTGGCGCTTATAAAAGACGTCTTCGGGATGCGCATCCACATGAATTTTGAGTACTGTTAACAATTCCCTCAGTTCGTTTAAACTGCACTTTCTACCATCTGTTTTTTTAATGTACTGATCTAATTGAGGACATAATACCAAAGGTCTGTTACAAAGTGCGTCTGTTTGATTTTGAAGGCCTTTACAGAATTGACTTATATCAAACGAAGGAACTGTCATATAGGTAAATTCTATAACAAAACAGTTATTTGAGCCTCCAGAAACTGACCGATTCAATAATTCGCAACTGATTCTGTCGAATCTATTTTCAACAACAAATAGGAACGTGGCAATGCACTGCTGTTGATACCACTTCAGTGCCTCATCTGAACTCGTTTTTGCTTTATTTGTTAGATTCAGCACCGTTGTATCTTTTTCTTTTCCCTTGAAAGAGTACTGTTTAACTTCATTCGTTGAGCACCAATTTAGGCAACTTTGAGTAACTTCAGTCTCCTCCAAGCAAGTCAATTTTGGCATATTGCCAATAATGACAATAATTTTGTCTGGTCGACAAATTTCATCGTCTTCTAACACCGCCGTGATGTAATTTGAACAATTGTTTTCATTAATATAAAACTTTCGGGTTTTTCTTGTAAGGTACACAGCGACGTTCCATGCGATGAACAAAAAGAACCAAAATCTTTCTTATTAATTTTCTAATTTTGTTGGTGATTTTTCTGCACTTAACATATGTCTCGAACAATAAACGAGCAAAAATTATGCAGATGGTCTACTTCTTCTCTTTTGCATTCAACTTACACTCTACGTTGCGGTTGAGGCTTCAATAAAAAATCATGACAATTCTCTTTTAAACATTACACAGTTTATTGGCTTCGTTATGTTGAGACATTTTACCCGCATCTAAGAAAAGAACAAATTGATTAAAATGAAATTTTGTGGTCTAAAACATTATCAATATAATCGGTTCCCATTTTAGGCTTAGACAACAAAATTGAACAGAAAATGAATTCAAATCCATTTTCTCGCAAAATTCAGTTCAGCTGGGATTCATTTGGTTGAGGGGGGTTAGGATTAATTCAGGTTGGGGATGGCGGGTGTAAGAGTACAAAGGGGGCAAAGGGGCAAACATTGGAGTGGACAGAAGCGGGCAATTAATGAATGGAGCAAAACTCAGCTATTGATTAATATAAAACAGAAACAAAATTATCAATGTTTTAAAAAAATCAAAAATAACCAACTTTAGTTTTAAACGTAGAAAAAGCTTTATGTGCGTTGAAATTCGCATCTTAATAAAGTGGAGAAAAATTGTTATAATTGAGTTTTATTGTCAGTGTCCACAAAAAAAAGAAAAAAAAAACAATTTTGATGGATTAAAAATGAGTTTTGTTGCCTCGAAGAATTGTAATGTTATAATCCATTTTCGATTGATTGTAATCGATTTTTTTTCACTTTTGTAGACACTGACAGTGAAACTCAATTATAATCGATTTTTTTCATGGAACTCCCAGCATTTTTTTTTCTGAGAAGTTCCTCTATCTCTGTCGTAAGCAAGATAAGGTTTTTAAGTTTTCCGAAAAGGCTATATCTAAGACAAAAACTCAGAAACAATGAGAAACAATCGATTCAAAAAACCTACAACTTAGAAGCTTTTAGAAGCTTATAAAAATATATTTTGTTTGAAGGCTTTGAAATGTTAGTAAAAACTGTGACTTTACCACCAATGGTACCAGCATACTGGTATGCAATTCGCGTAAAGATCGATAGAGCGTATAGTTTATCTCCTCAACAGCAAAAAGAGTCAGTGAGCGAACTCCCACTTGACCTATACATTTAGGTGTACTTCAGCTTTAAGCCTTAATAGTCATCGCACGAGAAAAAAAAACCTAGCGCTAAAAACTTTTTAAACTGATAAAGTTAACAGCCCAGAGTCCAAGCGGTTCATGGCATTAATTCGAAGCAGGAAGATGTAAACCTAAAAATATAGATTGAAGATTGATTTAATCATAACAACTAATAAATTTTGTGATATAATCCTATCAAGATGTTTACAAAACATTACCCACAATGTTTCATGGATAATAATCGATTGAAAATTGTTTGACACGCATTTATCGTCAGCCATGTCGATAAAACCAACAACGCAAAATCAGAGCGGGTCATCGTATCAATGCGAACCAGAAAAATCCTATCCACTGATTTAAATTTACAATTTCATATAATCATAACAAACAGCGGTTGCAAAATAACTGTATCGTAATTGCGATATAAGTTCATCAAAAAAATGAAGAAAAAAAACGATGAGTCTAATCAATTCTAAACACCTTTTCAGAAACATCAAAGCAGTGAAATTAAATAGGTTACGAAAACTTGAGAGATACAAAGAGAACTACATCTCTAGAAAGTCTGGACCTTGCAAAGAGAAAAATTAATAACTAAAGATAAAACGCTGAGCTTTGGCTCTAGATAAAAAGTTTCACGAAACTGCAAAAAAAAGGTTTTAGGAGCAATGCAAAGTAATAACTTTGACAAAAAAATGAAATATGTTGCACGTGGTGAATTGAAAACACAAAAAAAGCAGTGAATGGAAATTTAAGGGAAAATTAATTAAAACTAAACAATATAAAAAAGTAACTGTAAAAAAAATTTCCGACATAAAAATCCAAACATCAGGAAACAGTTTTTTAATTTTATGTCGCAATGTCAATTTCATGCTCAATAAACTACGGTTGCGATTAAACTGTATCATATATGTGATATAACATTGTCAAGGAAATTTTAAACAAATTATGAGTCTAATCATTTCTAGAAAACATTCGAAAACATCAAAATATAGCAAAACTGAATAGTTTTTGAATTTTCCGAACTTTGAGAGATACGAAACTACAATCTTCTGTACGTAATAAATTGTGCGAGATTTAAGATAATGATGTTAAGCTTTTTTCCATATGTGAAAATTTTATGACAAGCATTTATGGCCAACCCTGGTCGATAAAACCAACAACACAGAGTCAGAGCGGGTCATCGTAACAATGCGAATCAAATAGACACTATCACATGGGTATATTTCAAGATTGATACAATCATGAAAAAAACAGTTGCGATAGAACTGTATCGTAGTTCTGATATAACTTTATTAAGAAAATTACAAGCAAACCATGTGTCTAATCATTTTTAGAAAAACTTTCAAAAACATCAAAGAATTGCGGAAATAAACAGTTCATGAAATTTCGAAACTTTGAGAGATAATAAACAACATTTTTCTTGCCATATTGATTTTTGTGAATTTGTATGATAAGAATTTTTCCATATAGGAATATTGTATGACAAGCTTTTATGGTCAACCTGTGTCAACAACAACAACAATAAAACCAACAACACAGAGCCAGAGCGGGTCATCGTATAAATGCAAATCAGAACAGTTCCATCCTATGAATTTTTTTACAGATTGATACAGTCATAATAAACTCCACTTGCGATTTAACTGTAGCGTACGAAGAAAATTTTCAAGAAAGTTACAGATAAACTATGAGTCTAATGATTCTTAGAATAACTTTCAAAACATCATATTAGTGCGAAATTAAATTGTTTTTGAACTTTGATACTTTGAGAGATACGAAAATACATTTTTCTGTGCTTATTGAATTGTGCGAAATTGTAATAACACGCACTTTTTTAATTAAAAAAATTAGGAACACGCATTTTTGGTCATCCCGGGTCAATAAAACCAAGAACACAGAGTCAGAGCGAGTCGTTTGTATCAATGCGAATAAGAAAGATCCTATTCTATGAGTGTATTTTATAGATTGAAATAATCATAACAAACTTTGTTTGCAATATAAATGTAACATAGTTTTGATATAACCTGATCAAGAAAAAAAACAAATAACTACGAGCGTAACCATTCTAGCAAAAGTTTCTAAAACATCAATATATAGCGAAATTAAATAAGTTACCAAATTTCGAAACAGTAAGAGATGCAAAAAGTACATCTCTAAAATATCTGGAACATGCAAAAAAAATATTAGTTGAGATTGAAATTCTGAGCCGTGGCTTCAAAGAAAAAAAATTCACGAAACTGCAAAAAAAAATGATTTTAGGAGCAATGAAAAGTAATACTTTCGACAAAAAAATGAAAAATTTTGCACATGGTCAAATGAAAACACAAAAAGGGCAGTGAACGGAAACTTGATCAATTCTTAACTATATAAAAAAGTGGAAGTGAAAGAAAATTTCTGAAGCAAAAATCCAAACACGAGGAAACTCTTTTTTATTTTTATGTCGCAATTGCAAATTCATGCTCAAACAAACAATGACAAAAATGCAGGCAAAAATTGTTTTATTTATCTATAACGTAGACGGTTTCGGCTGAGTTTTTTGTTCGAAAGAAAACCATTGGACTAATGGTTTTTTTGCGTAACCAAAATTGAAATTTTTTATGCTTTAATAAAAAGATTTACTTTAGTTTGTGAAAAATATCAGGCCACGATTTTTGATGAGTATATTTTTTGACTAAAACCTTTCTAACTAAACACAAAGTAGTAAGGTTTTCATTCATATTTCTGAGTCAGCTCTGAAATATCCTTTTACAACTTTAACAAAAATGCAAGTATCTAAAAAATTTTCGAAAAAAAACTCGAAATTGGATCGGAAAGTAATTGATTTTTGATTTTTGGAAAAATTCTGATTACTTTGGCTGGCGTATAAATTTCTTATTTTGAAAAGCTTATTGCAGATTTTGCTCACAGGTTTCTGTGCATATGGAATTTAGCGAATTTTTATGATAAGCCCTTTTCCAGATAGGAAAACTTTGCGATAAGGCTTTTTGGTCAAACCGGGTCAACATAACCAACAACACACAGTCAGACCGGGTCATTGTATCAATGGGAAACAGGTAGATCCTATCCTATCAACTTATTTTAAAGATCAATATCATCATAACAAATTTCAGTTGCAAGATAACTGGATCGTAATTGTGATAAAACTTTATCAAGAGAGTTACAAACAAGCTATGAATCTAATCATTTCAAGAAAAACTTTCGAAAATATCAAATATAGCGAAATTAATTAGTGTATGATTTTTCGAAACTTTGAGAGATACAAAAATTTTATCTCTAGAAGCTCTGGATCATGCAAAAAAAAAATAGTAACTAAGTGTTAACTAAGGATGAAATTCTTAGCCTTTACTCTAGAAAAATGTCACTAAAGGGGAGTAATATTTTCGACAAAATTTTCTTAAAATCTCGAACATGTTAAAAAGAAAGCACAACAAAAGGGGAGATTACAGAATTTCAAAAAAAGATCGATCGAATCTCAACTTTATGAGAGAAAGGCATTAAAAGAAAAACTGTGACAGAAATTCGAAACATCTTGACAATGTTAAAAAGAAATTTTGCGTGAAAAAGAGCTTGAAGGAAGCTTGAAAAATTGAATCTAAATCAACTATAAAAAGTACCGGCTCCAATTTACGCGCAAATAATGGTCAGCTACTTACAGCGTATTACGAAATGAGATGCGGAATTCAGCAAACCATAGCGGTATGTAAACAAGACTGCTCGTATATCAGGGCAAAGCTTTAATTCATATCGAATAATTTTTGGGAAAAAAAAATATTGAAAACCTATACACTTTGGGCAAAATTAAAGTGTAAAATTTTGAGTCGTACGAGATTAATACGACCAATTAGCTAGCCTCAATTAAATTTGGAACGAGTCTGTTGTGCAGGATAATTCGCCACGCATGAATCATTTGCGCTACGTTATCATCATTATCACTAAATTTTTCAAATCGCATAGTTTAGTCCAGAACATGGCATATTTGGCAATTTTCAAATACCCAAAACTTTACAAAAAAATCGGATGTGAAATATCTTTTTATATTTGAACCCAAAAAGCTGATATCTTCAATGATGCATAAAAACTTTTTGTTAAAAATTATTATTTCGATCGGTGAAAATTGACTGAATAAAAAAAACCAAACAGAGCATAAATATTCCGTTTTCTTCAAAAGTCGGAAAAAAACTAAACAACAGATATAATGAAAAGAATTGAACATTAAATCCAATTTCAGATATCAAAATATAAAAGGAAATAACTTGATTTGCAATACCGACTTAAGTTTGGGAAAAAAGAGCACGTTTTGGTAACATATGTACTGCTTTAAAACCAAAGTATAGATGATTGAGATAAGGTTCCTTATAAAAACAAACCCATCATAAAAGTTACTGATTCGGTTTGTTTTGTTTTGAAAAAAAAAATAGCTGAAAAAACATCAAACTTGCAAATTTTAATAAATATCCGAATCTGGTCAAATATTCGAGCTAAAATATCAAACTTGGCAAAAAGTCAAGTTGTTTCAAGAAAATTTTGTAAACACACCTTTTCCTTTAACAGATTTTGCTGAAATTTGATGGTTGTGGAAATATCACAGCTAGAATATGAAAGTTCAAATTGGAAAAGCAAAATCACAAATGAAACATGAAACTTAAAAAAAGCAAAAAAGTGAAGGTTGGCTTTGTTAGTTTTTTACAGAAAATAACACAAATTAATTGCATGTGGCCTTTATTGATAGAACTTAACTGTATTTAACCAATCGAATCAGATAATAAATTCACGGAAAACCGGTTCCGGTGTCTCACTATCTGAATATTTACAGTCAAACCTTTTAAAAAAGAAAGTATCATGGCAGTAAAAAAAATCCAAAACCGGAACGAAATTTTTTTCCAAAACTGAGATCGATTGAATTGTAATTGATTCAAATCTATAGTTATTTAGTTCCAATTTTAAAAGCATGGAAGGCCGTACAGATTCGAAATTAAATCAGAGACCTCATTTGCTTCCAGTTCCGAATCGAAGTAAGACTTGTCGCCTACAACTATTGCCAGGTTTATAGTAGCTCGTGTTATTGACATAACGAAACTATCTACGAAATCCTTAAGATTTTGTCCGGTGAAGTTTTTCTCCAGCAAAATAACAACCGTACCAAACTCACTTCCAGTTATAACTTCGGTAGACTCAAGTTGAATTTTTGGCAAAATCTGACAGCCGTGAAGGTACACATTGTAAAAGTTAGAGCGTAGAATTAATCCTTTCTTTTTCATACAAGCAACTAATAATATCTGAGCTTTTGGCGATAAAAACGATATTATCACAAGAATACTCGGCATAGCGTACGAAAGTGAAACATATCTCATCACTGTTTCGACGCATTTATCAATGAAAGTCTCAATTTGAAGACCATCTGCAGATTCAACATATAAAATATCAGCTCTATTAGTACCGTCCAAGCTATGCGGTGGATTCCCCGACAATTCGGTTAGCTTGTGGCTTCCAACTATGTTTCTGATTATATTTTCGGTAAACATGTGCAGTTGTTTTGTGGATCTCAATGTTTGTTTCAGCTTGAACTCCTGGAAGTTTTCGGAACTCCAGGCTCTAAAATCGGGATCTGCAGTTTTCATTGATGAAAAAAAACATAAGTGAACGTTTTTCTTTAATTTTCCGTGTAAATTTTTTATGAAACGAACAGATAGATCTTCGTCAATCAAAACGATACCTCTGTGAAGTTCAGATAATTTTTCTATTTTCCAAAATTCGATGCTTGTTCCACTCACACTTTCTTTTAGCTCTGAGAAAAGAACTTTAGCTTTACCACGAGAGCCGTCACATATAACTACCTTGCACTGTTTATCGCCGTTTTCTTCAAAGATACGACAGGCTAATTGCGCTAAGTACATCATCAGCATTGTCTTTCCTGATCCCTTTGGCCCACTAACAACTAATCTGAGCGGTTTGGGCGCATTCGAGAACAATGTGGTCTTTGAACACTTTTGAAGTAAAATGAAGACGGCAGCAATGATGTCCAATTGTTCTTTTGTCCAAAGAATTACCCGTGTTTTTGCACGTCCTGTTTTGTTACATTGCTCTTTCACGCGGCGTATGAGATCTTGTTTATCGTCTTTTCGGTCTGTTAGTACTTCGCTGAATTGTTTTTCGATCCATGAATCCAATTCACTCGTTTTAACCTGAATGGACTGGATTTCATTCGAAGTAAACTTTTGATGGATAAGTGAGCTGGCTCCTCCCATTGAATTCAGTGCCACAAGTCGGGCAACCAAAACGTCGAAGTGGTTTGTTTCAATCATGTCGGGAATTTCTTGCAAACTGTCTTTCCAAGCCGAAGCGAAGTTTTTCAAACTTGCTTTTTGAAAAACTAAAACTTTGTTTGTGGCACCAATTTGTGCATTAACATACCAAGCGCTGTCCTCTGAAAGTTTTGCTACGGAAGTGTTATCACCGGGAATATAACAAAAAACCGCATGAATAGGAACGTTATCAAGAGGTTCCACACAAGGATAGTTATACAATGATAGGAAGCTCAAGAACTTTGTGTGTTTAATCATTTCCTGTTTCAGTTTTTCAGTTTCTTCATTTTTTTCATTTTCTTTGAGAGTTTCTTCATTTTTGTTGAAGGTTTTGTTTTTGACATTGAAAACGAACAAACCTTTTTGTGGGTGAGCAACAATCATGTCAATTTCTACGCTACCAGGGCTTCCTTTTTCAAAAATGTGACTTCCATCAACATTTGGAAAAATCATAATTCCTGCTTCGTCGGTTAATACTTCGTTTGTAAACAGTTTATAAATTTTATTTTCTCCTTTTTCTCCTTTTACGAGCGATTTGTATTTAGTTTGCAGTTTTTTGCTCAAATCTTCATGTCTTACCATCATTCGCGGGACTTTAACACACGGAATTGAGACTTTATTTCCAGGTTTTTTCCAATGTGGGTACTGCATTTTCGCGAATTCCATCAAAGCATTGTTTTGACGAAGTTTTATTTCTGCCCCTCCCGGCCAATGGATAACTGTTTCGTCTAACTCTGCTTCAAATTTTTCTTTTTCGCCCGCAGTACTTTTTTGACACAAAGGTGGCACATTTTCCCTGTTTTCGTCTGGCGCAAAGTTTGATCTATCATTTGAAACTCTTATGTCGTCAGAGGTATAGAATGGAGAAGTTGAAGGGAAAAATGTTAATAGTTCGATCAGCACGTACTCGTTGTCTGCTTCTTCTTCCCCGAATTTTTCGTCGGCACTTCTCGATTTAGATAAAAATGAACCCATCAGCCTTGATAAAGGTAATCTCAGCTAAGTACACCTGAGCAAAACACCCCTCCGCTCAGATAGAACTAACGTAACCTAAATTGAATGGTAAATAGAGGAAACAAACTAGCAAGACAAATGTCAGAGAGTGGACAAGTCATAATTACTGCTGTTGTAAACAAGTCATAATTACTGCTGTTGTAGACAAGTCATAATTAGAAAAAACGAAACAACTGGCGATTCATGAACGCAGTTGATAAAGCTGTTTTTTTTTCAAAAAAAGTATCTATATTCACCATTTTAGTTTGAGCTGATGAATTAAACATGCTGCAATTATGTAATTTAAAAAACTTTAAGCAGATAGTGAAGTTTAGAAGTTGTGAATAAGAAAAAAAATCGTCGATCTTAAATTTCTTTTTTCATTTTTGCTATAAAATTTATTCTGAAAAAAAACTCAGACCTTTCCTCAGGTTTAAAAGTTGTCTACAAACAAGGTCTCTTTTTGAAATTTGATTCAAAATCAGTTGTGTTTTACATGATATTATTATAAAGCTAAAGTGATTTTTTTACTTTATTCCAAGTGATTGGAAAACAAACTTCCCGTAATCCATATTTACTTCCCACATTGTCTAGCAAATGGTCTATAAGAAAATATTTTTCAAGTTAGTTTTATTTGCCTTGTCATATCGTAATGTATGAGCGTTTATAGAATCCAAACGGATTGACTAGTGGTATCTAAATGACTCTGATTGAGAAAAAGTAACTGAACTCAAATCTGAATTAACACCAACTGAACAGTATCGCTCAGCCATATAGTCTATCTTATCAGCCAAGGCCATTCATCCGGTCTCTGACTAACTATATGTAGATTTTCATTAAAACTAATTACTTAATAATAGTTTGAGCAAATCCGATCGGAGGACGCTTCCCCTTGTGAAAATAAAATAGAGTTTCAACGTCCCAGTGGGACCAATTGTGAGTTTTATAGTCACTGTGTGACACTGGAGTTTTCTAGTCCCTGTGGGACTGACTTGATTGCCCCGCCTCAATTTTGTTCTTTGGTGTTGTCCTGTGAGTGTCATCCTGCCTCCGTGAGTGATGTTCTTGTGGTCTCTGTATCCTTCATTTTTGTCGGCGGCGCTGTTAGGGTTTCATCCTGGTCATGGATTTTCTCAAGCTCCCATGTGGTGATCGCGTCTTCTTTCGTTAGGTTATTTTCGGTGTGGGTAGTTTTATTTGGGCTGTCTGACAGGGAGACCAAATTTATTATGTTGATAGTGTCGCTGTCCTTTTTCTTCGGCTTGATCCTTTCGAGGAATTTTATGCATGCTACAAGTTCTGACGAGTCTTTTTCAAAGCCCATTTCACGAATAAAATTCTTGATACATTTGTTTTCATGGACGCTCGTGGTTTGTTTTGTGCTTGTGGTCTGTTGTTCTGGGACGCAATTGAGAATTTTCACGGCGAATCGATGATATTGATTGGAATCGAGTTTCCCAATGCTGACTTCGGTATGGCCCGTCGGCTCCTTGTCAATTTTTGTGTCGGTTCTGCGCTTGTCGCAGGTTGCCGCGGCGGTGTTGTTCTTGTGTTGTTTCGTTTTGGGGAGGATGCAGTGTTTTCCATGTTTTACGAGGCGGTGAATGACCATCCCTCGATCGACGAGGCCTCTGTTTCGGTACCCTTTTTGTCTGCGTTTTTGAGCGTCATGCCTCTGGCATGTCTGGAACTGGGTTTTCCGCCCGTCCTTTTTCCCGTTTTTGGTTTTGCCTTCCGTTTTTTCTCTGCCTCTGCGTCTTTTTTGGTTTGTTGTTCTTTCTGGGACAGCTCCATTGGCAGTCCTGTTTTCTCATCCGGTCGCGATTTCGTATTGAGGTGCATTTGGTTGCTCGATGTCTAAGAAACGTAGGCATGGCCCTGTTCTCCTAGCTGATTTATGTGCCACATAATCACTTAGCGGTGAAGGTCTGCATGGTCCGTATATTTTTGGATTTGGTACAAAGGCGAAGCCACTGTTTCTCAGTAGACGAGATTGTTTTCCCTTTGTTTGTACCCAGGCCGTTTGCGGTGTAAAAGTTAAAATCCTATTATGTATCGTTTTCTTCTTTTTTGTTCCAAGTTTTAAGTTTCTTTAACTTTTGTGGCGATACGAACTACTTTTCGAGCTAACGTTTTATATATTTTTTTGTTGATATTCGCTTGTTATTAAGTTAACTTATATCTTAGATTTAAGACTCCCTTTTATTTAGCTAGTGAATATCTTGTTATCATACATGTAATATTTATCGTAGATGATTCTCCTTCCTTCAGTGACATATTTGATGGTTCTGGAAGTTTCTTCATTTGTCGTCCAGTTATCTTTACCTCGATTTCAGACCAACATTGAAGATCGTGCATGGTGTCTGGTTGGAGTGGAGGAGACATCAGGTTTTTCCGATCTAAGCAAGCGTGTTTTGCAATTTCCCACTTTAGGTTATTTAGTGAGCTTGTTGTGGCTAAATTAAATAACGATGTGCTGGGCTTTCGGCCCATGTGAGCTTCAAAAAGAGAAATTTTTGTCGTTTTTTGTGGTGCTATTCTCAATGTTTTTATGGTTTCGATTACGTCCGAGGCTAACTTGGTGTTTTTGCGTGTTTTTACTGTCTATTCGCATAATCCCCAACTTGCATTTTAGTGTTCGGATCTAGCGTTCGACTACCCCCTATGGATCTGTGATCATCTACTGGTGCGAAAAGAAGTTTAATGTAGTTGGATTTACAAAAAAAAAAAGAAATTTTTTCAGCTCTAAACCTTTGTGCTTGATCACATCTAAGCTGAGGGGGTATCATATTGTTTGAGATTCCCCTCTGCATAATTTTTGTCGCTTTATCTGCCGTTTTATTTGGACCGCCGTACCTGTAGGAAGTTTTTACCATTTTTCTATCGCGACCAAAAATTATGCGTCTTTATTTAATTCGTCGTTGAGGGGCACGGCAAAGTCTAGTTGGACTTCCTCATTGGGTTCTACTACCGGTTCCATTTGGAATGAATGGGGTTCTCCTATTGCAAGTTTTAAATTTTTACATTGTTCTGTGTTTTATCGGCATTTGTGGGCCATTTGAACAATTATGCGGTGTATGTGTGGGAACAAGGTATTTTCGCACCAGTCGCGCATTGCCGCCGCTCGCGGACGGGTCACATGTAAGCTGCCGAGGATAGTTTGACGCAATTACTTGGTGATTATGATTCGGTAGTTTATTAGGAGACAGTCGTCCTTGACGTGCAATCGGTTTTGCACCTTGTGCCAATAATCGCCATATGCGTGTTTTAGCGCCTTCCAGTGTCGTTTCTGATGGAAGTTGACCATTGGTTTACTGTTTCTGTCTCTGCAGGTGGCCGCGGCGATTTGACCGCAAGATTTGTTGTAGTTTCTTCCGGTAGAGTGGTGTGTCCTCCTCTGCCTACGTTGCGCTGGCTTTGTCTGCTATTTCCACGACACTTGCCACAATAAGTTCGTGGCAAGCTTCTGATTGGGTGCCAGACATTGTTTGCGTAGCCTCGTTAGGTGACGTTTTTCAAAACCGACGTGTTGATGATCGACTCTACTGACGCAGTACTCGTAGTGTTCGTTCACCACTTCTGTGAGCTCTGTTTGTCAGCTGTTCTGGAATTGGGGAGCGATTGTAACTTCGGATGTGTTTAAGTTTTTTTTCGACGACGCAAGATCAGGCACCAAACAAAATCATCAGAATGGGTCCAATTATATATCATTGTGAAACCTTTTCAGTCATGATTAGTATGATTTTTGTTGATTAAAGAATTTTCCCTGGGTCGAGAAAAACAAGTTCGAAGTTTTTGAATTCTTGTCTTTTTTCTTCAAGTAACAACTCAATTTACTCCAGAAAAGCAATTTTGAAAGTTTTTTAAGCGCTTCCTTCGCAACAAAAACATTTAACACAAAATTCGTAGTTTTTTGTTCTTAAGGAAGCACTAAACGAAGCGTTCAAAACTACTTCTAATTTTTTCTGAAATTTTCAATTGTTTCTAAAATTTTTTTGGCTTTTTTCATGTATTGCTCGGAATTCGTTTTTCGAAGACAAAAATTGTTGATTTTGTAGAAGTCGCTACGAGGTTGATAAGTTCTCTCGTCAGAACACGCACAAAAAATTTATTTGGGAAGAAAAGAAAGAAAAAGCAATTTTTATAAATGCTCGGAACATTTTTTGCTGCTAGCAGAGAAACCGCCTATCCTTGTTAACTTTCATCCTTGCCAACCAACTTAAAATAAGTTGCAATACACTTACTATGGTGGTGTTAAGGATCAATTTCCGAATCAAAAAAAAGTTGAGTTTTAGGGAGAATCATAATAGTGCAGGGGCAAGAGCAGCATAGAGATAAGACTCGAAATCAGTTTATCCATTTGAGGTTGTTTTTAAAGTTATCCCAAACTTTGTATACATTGCCAATTCGATTGATAAGATTTTAAATATATCTACATAAGGCTTCAAAAATGGGTCAACCTAAACTTTGAGTACCTTTTTTTCTCAACAAGGCAAGAAAAAAGAAAACACTTACATTATTCTTTGAACAGATAGGTTTGAGCTTTTTTCAGCTTTTTAAACATATTCTTGACAAATATTCAATCAAATTACTGAAATTTTTGCTTATATATTTTTCAGCCACAAATCATTTTACCCAGGGGCGGATTTAGGGGTGGTGGGGGTGGATCAAAATTTTCCAAAAAAGCCTAAAAACGTCTTTTTTGGCCTGTTTTTTCAAAGTTTTACCTGCGGCGCAGAAAATTTGGCCAAAAGAGGATCTTTTTAGTGCTTTGCAGAGCTCGGAAAATCAAGTTGATCGACTTAAAAATAAAGTTGACAAAATTCAGAAAATTCGCACCCCCCCCCCCCCCCCCCGCCCCCCCCCCCTCGAAAAAATCCTAGATCCGCCCCTGATTTTGCCTAATTGATCTTGAGTATTCTCTTTCTTGCAGCAATTTTTATCTTTCTTGCAAAATTTTTTGAGCTTATTGGAAAAAACATGCGTTTCCAAAAGTTTTTCTTAATAAAAAGAATAAATTAGCAAGTTTGTTGGCCAAAACAAAGATTTTCAATCAA